TTTTTTTGCCTTTGTGGTAGACTAAAACATCTGAAGGGCTATAGTGAAGCTCGATTTCTTTCTCTGCCATGCTTGAGGAGTCAAAGTGTGCTAGTCCCCGTCTCTCTGTGGTATGAATCGCTAAATATGGCTATGGCCCTCTCTTTCTCACCCTGAAGAATTGAAATACATTTCTTCGTAAAGGCAGCCAATGCAAATTTAATTCTGTAAAGTAAGGCCAAAGAAGCACACGCTCCGACATTAATTTTAACCAAATGTATGCATCGAGAGATGATGCCTTGTCCTTATCTAGAGAATCTATGCTTAAAATCGGCTTAATATCATGAGTCATGGCAAATGTGAAGGCCATCAGGTCATTTATAAAGATGTGATTATGAAGAAAGATTTATTACTGATCCACAGAGGAAGTGGTTGGGTATGGATATAAACTAGTGCACATCCCTTAGCATGTTGGAATTCTACAAATGAATGTAGGTCGAGTGCATTGATATGGTATAACTGTAACTGTCCCTTTCCATCAGAGACCAGCCAGCCTGTCAAAAATGGACATCGGATTTGAAACCTCGAAAGCTGTCACAAGTGGCAGGCAAAATTACACTTCTACCTACTTCTTCAACTCTGCCAAACACGCCAAGGTGTTTTGGCAGTCTGCAGTGACATGCCACACCTTTTTTCGGGTGAGAGAACCCGGCTCCAGTGGACAGACATTCTCCACCCTTAATGGTGGCATTCAGGCCGTACCTATCTCGGCAACTTCCCATCTCTCCTCCTCTGCCTCATCTCCTGGTGGCTTTTCTCGCTTCTTTCGCCTGCGTGGAACTGGAACTCGTCGCAGTTTAAGCGCGGGAACAGCCAGTCTCGGTCTAGAGCGTACCATGTCGACGCTGATGGAACTGCGTCGGCGCTCTAAGAGCATTGAACACGGATTTTTCAGGTGTATATCACCTCACTACTAGTGTCAATTACGTAGGACTAAATATTCGGCTAGCCACCCTGAAGACTTAGAATATTATGCATTTTTATTGCTTAAATTTTCAGACTGTTGCGGTAAGTTACACACCCACCTTGGTCGGAAATCTATTCCATGCATTGCTTTGTGGTTTGGCCTGGTACAGTGATCGGGCATGCTTTGCTTTTATTTTATCGCGATTTCAGCTAGGCTGATTGGTGAAATGGGGGGTGAGTGAGGAGTTATTGCCTTATTTTTCATTTCCTCTTGACCAGAGGTGTAAGTCGCCGTTTCAGTCGGCGTCGCAGCTTTGCAGCACCGGGGAGGACTCAATCGGTGGGTCTGTTAAATGCCTACGAGTTAAGGGATAGTTTTGGTATGCAAAGCATACCCTCATTGTTGGATGAAGTCTTTCCGCTGCCAAAGGATCCATCAACGGATTTGGACACGACTTCCACACCTGAACATGATTTGAAAGGACCTCTGCATCCACCTTCCTCTGAGACGAAACCGATTGTTGGGGGCAAGGACAATCGCGCATTTCCCCGGAAGTTTAGGTCTTCTGTTCCACCACTTTCTAGGGTAAAGAAGGCTCACGTGGTTATTGGAAGTTTAGACAAGATTTGTGAGTCAGATTTGTCGTCTTTTAGTTAAAGGAACATGACCTACTTCCGTCACATACCTGGGATTTGGAAGGGGAAATTAAACCGAATGCGGTGGACAATCAAAATATTCCTCCTCAGGTAATCTACCTTTCGAGATGTTGCTCTTCATAGAATAAAATGGTGCAATCGGCAAGGTGATTGATTACCACCTGATTGTTTAATCGTGTATCCACTTACCCACTAGCGACAATACCCCTTCACCTCATTGTTGTGGCAATGAATTAGGCAAATAAAAAATGAGAAAAATGAAAGATATTTATTATTAAAGGCTGCTATTTCACACACTCACACACCCGTCTCGGGCGTAAGGCACACACACACGCACAACTGCTGGCCTATGAGCGACGACATCTCTATGGTCTCGTAGCATCGCTGACTTGAGCCGAAAAAAAACCTCCACTAGCACAGGCACAATCTACCAGCATGTTTCCTACAAGGCAGTTCAAAAATTTTGAAAAGCGATCACGTCGTCTTACCTTCCCTAGTAAACGGATCATTTGCAGGGTGCGTTTTGAGTAGCTTACATTGACTTCAAATAACCCATCCATTTGCTCGATTCTTATTGGTCAATGTTGATGAAGAGGTTGAAGAGGAGGCACTTCTAATCATCTTAAGTGGCATTAAAGCATTCACTTTCTTGGTGCTCTACTATTATCAGGATCGCTTTATTACCACGACTGCACACAGTAAAAGGAAATTGTTTCGATCTGCTTTTTTTTTTCTTTTTACATGGTCCAGTTGCTATTCCAATTGGTTACAGCATCTGCTGATTCGGAAAACAACAATTTATCAAAGTTGTGTCTTGTACTTTTACCTTTTCCACAGTCGTTTATTTTATTTTTTTTCTTTTGGGTTCTAACAGACCTGTAAAGAAACGCGATCTCCTAGCCTTTTGGAGAAGGCCTGTGATGTGAGGCGCCGCAATTGACTCCGAACTGAGCACATATTTTCTTCCCTTGAAGCCACAAAATGTATTTTGCAGATTCTTCCACTCTTGTTTGCATAAAGCCATCATGTCAAAGGTCATCTATCCCAGATTGATTGTGCCGGCATTCCTATCCTGCACGCCTTCACAGAAGGCGCCCTTGATTAGATTTATCACGATCTCCGTTGAGGCCAAACGTTTCTCTTTTTTTTTTTCAGCGCACTCACATCCACTTACAAGAGACACCATATCAATGGGGAACAGGAAACACTTTAGGCTAATCTGTTATCACAATAGGACTTAATGGTTATTGCTGTTTCATAGAGTCTAAAGACGCATAAAATCCTCAAATTTTACTCGTTAACTGGTAATTAAATTTGAAAAGCGTAATACGATAGACTCGGGCCTGAGATCTCACTCCACTCTTCCTCATGTGATCATTCCTACCTCAGTATGGCTTGCCGTCTCGAGCCTTCTCTTGCATTCTCCTACCAACATTGAGATGCAGTTTCAGTTTCCAGTAGGAGGACATCATCTAGACTAGCAGTTAGACGGGTGGGGTAGTGCGATTTGAATAATCTGGACCTTTTTTTTTGTCTCCTCCTTCAACCAGTCTGTTATCTCTAACTGGATCAAAGTTGATCAACAAAACTGTGCATATGTGGGCCATCCTTTTGAAATTCCACTCGTCTGTGAACGATTGTGTTCTCCATTCTCACGAAACTGTTTGTTGCACATGAGTTATGTTTGCATTATATGGAATCCGGTGTGCCACCCACCAATAAAATGATTACAGGTAAGATTCATGCATTGGGAGGGGTTAACAGAACTACTACGACCGCCATTATTTAACTCCGCCAACTTTGATTGATGAAGTCTTCCAACATCGAGATGACACCTTTTTATGGAGGTTTTGGCGCCTTTAATGTCACTGTCAAGCCACTTTTGTTTCATCATCCACAACACGTTGTGACATGGGTGTGTTCATCACCACTATTGTCTATCGCTTTGATAAACTTTGTCTCAATTGAACCATAATTGGTAGTAAAACATCCACAGTCCACCCTTACCGTTGAACAACTCTCCAACTCTCCAATACCTTTCAACACTCCCAACTACAAGCATTCACTTTTCCCTTTTCTCTTTCAATATTAGACATCACCGATACCGAAAAAGGAGAAAGGAAGGCTTGGCGACTCTTCGTCAATCAATGAATCATCTCCGGAGAGGAATGTCCAGAAAAGGCGAGACACAGGATCCAAAGTTTCCACAGCCACTCGCGAAGATGCTGTGCTTCCACGTCCAACCGCCTTTTTTTCCACACGACCTGGTGACCACCTTTCTGACGAGGCCAGACAGAACTCACGAATTGGCATGGGTCTAGCATCTAGAATCAGCGTAGAAAAGTCGCCCTCAGGTAGGCACTTATGGAATTTTAAAAATGTGAGGGACCGCTGTTTGAGGCTCTCCTTCCTAACAGCATTTTGAAACCGAATAATCTGCTTTGAAACTAAAACTATATTTGAAAGATATGAAAAGCTTTAAGGATATTGTGAGTCTGTGGCGTGCATCGAACTGTGTTTAGCAACCTTTAAACAGCTTGTGTGATGAACTTGGCTTCAAACCAGAAATTGGTTGGCAACGAGTCCTCCAAAATGTGCTCTAAACTCACTGAAGATCATAGCAGATGATTTCCGCAATCCTAAGGTAACAAAGACCTCATGAGATGTCAATGGCAGCAAGACTCGGAGTCGGAGGAGAAAGTCAAGCCAGCTCTAAAGAATCAACCTACCAAGTGTCCTCGCGATTTGCAGTGACTCTCGATGCTTAAAAATGTGTTTCCGAGAGGATTCTGTAAAATCTTCTCTTACGAATGACAGACTGAGGGATACAAACTGAGTATATCGATAGAAAAGGATAAAAAAATGTATTCTTCATTGGTTTATTATAACTAATAGCACAAGTTCGAAGCTCTTGGCTGGCGATTACATGTAGATCCCATTTTCTTTAATGTAGTCTTGGCTTACATCTGCAGATATTCTTCCATGTTGGTTTCGAACATGAAGTTTAGTTCAAAGGTGGGACCCAAGGTCCCACCTTGCAGCCACATCAGCAATACTTATCCTTACTTCCTCGCTTTATGCAACACATTTTTATTTTCACGAAACCGACTTGTTCACCTTGAAAAAAATGTTAAAACAATCTTCCGTGTTGAGCCACTGCTACTGCTAATATATAAGTAGTAGTTAAGCGCAGTTGTTGAATTTGACCGGGTGCGTGTCTTAAACACGGCTGTTTTGAGTGTAAATTTTGTTTGTTTCCAAAATCGAACAATTTCGTTCCACCATACAAGAAAGCTTTTTAATGACCTTTGGACGACCTTAGAGGTAAATGGTGTCACTTGACACCAAAACAACACTCTTCTCCCTCATACATTTGTCTACAACGTCCCCTTCCTCCCACTTAGCGCACTTCTGTTTGAGCCATCAGGCACCAATCAAAGATAATTGCAAATGAGGAAGCTCCGTTTAACCCTAAATTCATTGTTACATCTCAATTCTTCTTCTGTTTCCTTCCCTACGCATTGCTTTTCTGATTCTATTTGGCTGTCATAAGTGGTGGCGGTGTCATTTGTTTATAATGAGTGTTAAAGTCCCCTCTCCATGCCTCTGCGATTTCAAGTAGTTAAAGTCTGGTGTCGTGTTTGTTACTATTTGCCCTCTTTATTGAGGAACTTGACCTCACTAGTATAGAATCTCAAGTTTCTCCTCCACCTGTAGCAAGCCTTATGCACATAAAAGTACAATCTGTGTGGATTAAAAAAGAAATACTGTTGTGCAGTCTCAAAGAACTATACACGGAGAGTCTTGGAATGGCACACTTTAACAACTTCAAACCTGCTCATGAAAGTCCACATCAGCACAAAGAAGAGGGAGGTGGAGACACTAGCCTTCCAAAATCCTTTTTTTTTTATTAATGACATCCTACGGCACAACGATTGTTCAATGAATTGCTCAGAAACTTCATCAAAAGCGTTTTTATTGCTGTGCCTTGATGACTTGCCTAGGCACTTCAGTTGGTATGAAGTAGGCTTGGCATATCTGTCATCACTGAGTAGACTGTGATTAGCATCTAGAAACTCTCTAATCTATGCCCTTCTTCAAATGGTGCATTTCGTTTCGCCAAAACCATTATTATTATAGCGCTGATGACGATGAAATCCTGAGCCGAGCAGATGCCTTAACTAAGCATTGTCCTATCCTGCACCTCATCTCATCCCATCAATTGCCACGCCATTTGGTGTCAAGAGTCTAAAGTTCTGGTACACCTTCTTTTTTGACCCCTTCAATACTGTCCAGCTGTGGGTTCGGTTCACTTCACACGACACTGCCCTCATCGTCATTGTTGCTTCGATGGTTCCACGTAGGATAGCTTTGGAGCTGGCAGGCTGACAATTACGACTGCCAAATTTTTGCCTGAGTACTAAAAGAACACGTCATAACACGAAGGATGGGGTAGGGTAGGCGGCACCCTGTCATACCATGATTGAGAGTGCTAGCCGTGATGGCACACCCCTGAACTCAGGGGAGTGTACTCAGTAGATTCATGCTAGACTTACTGCTAAACTGCAGTTCTACCCTAATTCAATGTCTTGACGGTTGTCGAATGAGCTCCGTCCCATGTACTCAACACAATGCGGTTGTTGAAGTATGGTGCGTAATTGCTAAGTGGTTGTAGCCTCCCTTCAAAATTGAAGTCAACAACCAATCAGACAGTGAAATGGCAAGTCATATCAGTAATTCACTAATTGAGTGTGTCATGACGTGGTACCCTAGTCTTAATGATAGCACATGCTATCATCAAGTGTGTTGCCGCCTCCACTTCTCACTCCTTCATTCACCTTCGTCTCTCAGTAGTACTGAGTGGACAAAAAACGAGTGTGTGGTTGTTGGAATAATCGTTGAAGTGTGTAATGCGGAGGTTGAGTCCGTCTCAATTTCAATGACTTGTATTTAATTGGGAAGGTAGTATCACGTGGGGTAGCTTTTTTAAAAAAACTGTGATTAATGCTGACAATCCAAGCCTCTTCACACCCTCACTGACTAAGAACAGCATGGAAGGCAAACAAACTGGTGTCGCATGACGTGATTCAAGGCTCGACAACCATTTTGCTGGCTTCAACCATTTTGTACATTATCGTTGATTGGTCAAGAGTATCACCGCTTGGTCTCCAACTACCCACTTGAAAGATTGTAACCGAGATTTTGGGGTAAAGAACCACAACTGGCACCGTCTTCCCTGACACACAACACAAGCCTGATCCGTGGGAAGATTTCCAGCCTGAGGATGGGAGGGAGGGATGGAAATGCTGCCTCACCTCTTCCACCGTACTCCCACCCATTTGACTCGCATGTTCACATGCGAAATGGCGGAAAGTAATTAAAAAAGGAGGCTAGAATAAAAGTGAGTTATAAAAGTGGATGCTTAGGCGAGGATTTTGGCAATAAGAACGAAACGATCTCTAAAGTTTGCCTTGAGAAGGGATGCTGGAGCATGTTGATGCTTGTTCCAGTGAACATGGACCATTGTTTTAGAAAAAAAAACGCACAGTTTTACTACCTGAGTCGTTGCCAGCACTGATTTACAGATGTAATTTTTTCCTTTTTAACACCTGGCTCTTACTTTCCTTCTGTTTTCTCCTTTTAGTTCGGCGGTCACTGGAGAGTACTAATTCAACGGTTAGTAGTATATTTGTTATTGCACTTAGTTTTGATTGGCTGGTCTTACTTTGGTCGATTTTTTACTTTTTTTCCTCCCAAAGTGTTGGATTGGCAGCTATTATTACGATCGTCGAAAATAAGAGGCCGATTTCTAATGCCACGATTCAGCATTTTTTGGTTTCCTTGCCCTCAATGATAAGGCTAAATCATTTCTTTCACTTCCTTTCATTCTCATACGCATTTCATGACCGAGTACTTTTGTAAAAAAAATAGTAAAATTGTCAACAGCTGTCGTTGCAAGTATCAAATGGAGCGTACTATGCGTCCTCCTCCTTCCCTCTTGGAACCCCTTCGCATACCCTCTTCCTTTTGTCCTTGGGGAGTATGAACGAAATGTCAGCGTTCGTGCATGTTTTAGCATCAAAGAAAAGTACTATCATCAAATTACTTTTGAGTTTCAGTTTGGAGAAAGTTTATTGCTTCCTATGGGTGGATTGTTTGCTGGCTAGGCAGAAATACCGTTTGAGGAGGGGACAGACGAGGCAATAGATTGGAGGTTTTTGGGGAGGAGGAGGAGGAGGACAGAGGCGAGGGGGGGGCAGGAGAGGGAGAGGGCGATAATGTTGAAGGGGCTTTAACACCCGTCACATTGTCACTCATGTGCCTCCAAACCGACAATGATGAGAGGTTGATGAGTGCGTGCGGATAAACACACGCACGCGTGCACACACACACACACACACATTCAAACATGCAAACAATCAGAGGCTTGCGTGCGAGCACCCTACTCTGGATGCTGTGCTCATTCAATCGATTGGTATTTAGGAGGCTTTGCCTAATTGGATCAGTATAATTAGTTTCCGTGGCAGAAAAACCAATGAGATCATTATTGTGGTCTGTGTGAACACACACACACATGCGCACATACGCCATCACCGCATTGCAAGTTGGCATTTGATGGGAAACTGGGTGAGCCAGAAGGCACCACGTTGACATTGCCACAGACTTACAGAGACAACCAAGGAGTATGAATGGGAATAGTAAGCCTCACTTAATCTACAACGACACCTTTCACGACAGTGAACGCAATATATCACAACTGTCCTCCTCACCGGATTGCGTCAGCGCCAACATTCCCGCACCCCAATTGCAGTGCTCTCCCAAGGAGGGATTTAATTCTATTCTCAGCTTCTGGTCCGAGATGGAACAAGCCTCCAGTCGATCCGCTTCTGTAACTACGCCTCGGTGTACTCTGCCCATGACAAATGGATTTTCGCGTCTTCGAGGTGTAAATGGACAGCTTAGTTCAGGCACTACCAGTGACATGGACTCCATCTCAAACTCAACTAGTAGTAAGCCGTTGACAGGAGAAGCGGTAAAGGCTCCAGACTCTTCTGTTCCTTCCATTCACTCCGAGGAGTCATCCGACATTGATAATCTCAGCACGACTTATGAAATTGTTGTCCCTCCTAAACCCCCTAAAATCATGAAATCACAATCCACTCAGCCGAAAACTTTCCTTCCCCCCAATGGTGTCAGTTATGGAGAGTACACCAACCTATCGGTACCAGCTAATCCACAACCACGATTAATTACAATAGAAAGAGAAGAAAGCCCTCCCATTCTACCTCCAAAATCACCACTTTTGCGTTCAATTTCCCGAATTAACGGAGATGAGAAATCATCACGGACACCTTCTCTGAATGGATGCAAAACAATGCCACATTTGAATGGAAATGGACATGATTTTGAGGCAAAACGCAAATTGTCAGTACAACCGGTAAAAGTCTCTGCCATAGACACGCCTGTCAATTGTGACAGTAAAGGCAATTGTTTCAATCCCAAATTTCGCTATTCTTTTCACCGACCGCCAGAAAAACCCCCAAAACTCATTTCTACTCGATCCAGCTCAGTTTATCCCCGGGTTCAGACCATGTCAACTGAAAAGCCACTTAGACCGTCATCAGAGATGCAGACTTCCAGAGGACTTATACAAGTTCGCTATCCAAACATGAGCATTACCAGTTCACTTTCGACCTCAAGAATGGAGGCTAATCCCAGTCCCACCAGGACGTATTACAGACCTCCTCCTAGGCGCTTTTCAACGTCTAGAATCGAGGGTCCAAGTCATCATCATCATCATCGTGGTTATTCGAATGGCGAGTCTAAGCGATCCAACAGCCATATTAGTACATCACCTTGCCTCTTTTCGGGTTGGAGGAGTTCTCGACCAAGTGTTAGTTTGCTAATTTTGTTTTAATTTGCTTCCCTTTCTATTACAGTGTTATCCTATCCTCCCTCTCCAGCCTCTGAAACATTACGTGAGCCATTATTGTAGATGAAACTAGATTAATTTAGCAAATCATTGTAGATATCTCCACTCAGGCGTATCCCTTCGTCTAACCTCAGTTCTCCCATGCATATTCAAACTTGTCTCTATTTGCATCACCTTGTCATCTTGCTAAACGGCAAGCGTATGGGATTGTAAGAGGAGGGGTTTGCGACGGCCCTATCTCCGCATTTAGGCAATGGTTTCATTTGCAAATGATATTATATGTGTCTTGCGTCATAAGCATTGTCGTTTTATGTGACAGTCTTTGCGTCAGAGTTGGTGTGATACTCCCCATTTGCTCTCCTCCTCTCCACCGTACTGCCAATTCATCCTCTCATTTACCTTTTTCGTGATTTAATTGCATCATAGCCACGTGCAGTTGAAAGGTACTACAACCCTCCGAAATGACAATGTCTCCATAATGGAAGTGAGCCCTCATGACGCAAGGAGGGTTGGAGTGGGAATGATGACGCTCCTCCTAGATGCATCCACACCTCGTAACCTTGAGCCTTCAAAATAGGTCTCATTAACTGTGCATGTCTCCTTCCGCTTAGCTGAGTAATCACCGACGTCAAGGTGACGACCTCATTCCCAGGAAGTGTTTTATTCGTGTCATTGAAGTGAATATTTGCCTAATCCGAAATTTAAAATACAATTCTCACACATTGGCGTCTCAATCACATGACTTTTTGTGAAGGTAAAATAAAAAGGAAGCATTTTCTTTGCCAACAACAGGTATCACAAATTAAATTACCAAATGTGTGTGTTTGTGTGCTTCATGGAAGTGTGAAAAAAATAATTGTGCATTTCATCTACTCCAGCATGTTTCACGCATAAGGTCATCTGCAAACCTACATGAGATTGTTATGACCGTGCTGTACTTTAGGGGTAATCACGTGTAGCTGTATTCTCTCTCTCTCTCACTCTTTCTCTCTCTATTCTTACACTTCTCGTCTCTCTTTGTGTAGAGTGAGATGAGGCACCATCCGTCCAATAAGGCCTCCAACAGATCCACTGCTGCTGCCGGTGGTAGTGGCGCGACGGATACGTCGTCGAATAGTCCCAACGCCTCCGATGAGAGTTTGGTGACTGTGCGAATTTGGCCCAGTCCAGAGGGACAATACGGATTTAATGTGCATGGTGGAGTTGATTACAAAAAACCTGTCATTGTGACTCGGGTTGGGGAGAATTTGCCTGCTGGTACTGCCACTCCTCGTCTGCATCGTGGTGATCAGATAATTCGTATCAATGATCGAGACATCTCTGATTACACCCAAGATCAGGTCAGTTCGCACTACAATAGGCAAGTAAATCATGTGATGACACATTGACAGCTCTTAGTGTAAGTATAGATATGAAGTGTACCAGTTTGTTAGTGACGTCTACCATGGGGAGAACACAAAGAGGAGTCGCATTGTTAACTCACACCTCTTGGTAGTCAGTTATTTCATGCAATGCTCCAATGACATGCGCCTACTTCTCATCACCTTTGACCCACCCTTTGACTGTGAATGACACTGAAAGCTGTGACCTTGCCCCATTTTCCACCCTCAGGCTGCATTTCAGCAATACCTCCTTCTAATCCTTATTTTGTCATCAAAAATACTTCGTTTTTTTTTGTTGTCTTGACAAGTCCTGACATATACTTCACCTCAAGTTTGGAGACCGTTTATAAGAATGTTACTTTATTAATGCTTGTAATGTTTAAACTGATACTTCCATCTGCAAGTAATTCTTTTTATCTTGTCAAAATTCAGGTGATCAGTACCATCCAAAAGGCGGCGAAAAGTCGTACGGGTTATTTGGAATTGGTAGTGAAACCTGACAGTAAGTAACTTGGTAATTTCTTCTTGCCGATTTTATACAACAATCACACACTACGCGCATGGCACTGATGATGTTAAATCGGATGAAATTCATCATATCACAAGAAAAGGATTGGCTAAGAATTGCCTAAATTTTCCAGAGTTTATGTGCAGTGAAGCAATAGTATATGCCAACAAGTCAGTTTCAGTGAAGTCTCATGTATAATGCATAGAAATATTCTCATTATACAATTCCAGATGGAATGAAAGGGTGTGAAGACTAAATGAAAGCAAGAAGATTGGAAGATGACAACTTTGGTGACATTTGTAAAGATTAAAGCAAACGTCAAATGTGTATGAAACAAAAATGCACTGCAAAAATGATATTCACATAGGTCAGCACAGAAATGACCTTTTAGGTGAGATGCAAAAAAGTAAAGCAAGTTTAACCAATCAAGTGATGGCACCATGTGAGACGGTGCTCCTTTCTGCCTTCTCGTCTCCTCTCTCTCCACCTCAAGCCACCATCGCACACGAAACACCACACGAACGAGCCTTGTGGTTGGGATTTGGGACCAACTTTCATGCACACTGCGTCTCAACACGTCTCACCGCCACAGCTGATGGGTTGACTACCTGCGTGGCATTTGAAGAGATAATATGTGCAATAGTGGGTGGTGCAGGATGCCGTGACTGTCAGAACGAGAGGGTTTCTCTCAATCATTCGACTCATTTGATGTGCCACTCACTACACGGTGGATGAAGGAGCA